CTTTCCCTTTCTCCGTCTCTTTCTCTCGTTACTACTCGTTTACCCCTCCCCTCGTTCTATCCTCTTGCGGGTGTTCCCTCTTCCTCCGACTCGCACGCGTCGTTTTGCTCTCGTGCGCGTACTCGTGTATTTATGCGTTTTCTCATATTCGCGCTGCCTCCTCTTTCGTCCTCGACGAAATCGCTCGGTATGCGTTCGCGATACGCGCGACGATGGAATAAACATCGACTGGGAACACCGCCGGTTTCTCCGGGATAGAGCTATCCGTCCGATATCCGTCCTTCCGTATCTGCCAACTTGCCCGCCTTTCGGCTCCGCCGGATCTTCTCCTCTAACGGCTATTGTCCGAAATCGAAGGTAACGGTAGCACGCACGGCACATCGAAAGCTTTCCACGTTGCGAAAAAAAGGGGAAAAAAAACTCGTCTTGCCGCTTTCGTCGCGGAATGCTCGCCTTCGCGATCGCGCGAACCCCTCCGTTGTCTACGATACGCGGAGGAAACGTGTCTCTACTGATTAATCAGCTGGCTGCCTCGACAACCAGATCGCCGTGAAACGCGGAATACGAAAGCAACGGAACGATACGCGGGAAATTCCTTCCGATCGACCAAATCTCCATGCTTCCAACAGCCGCCGCCACGTCTTTTCACTCGTCGTCGCCTCTAACCGTTTCCACCGATTCCATCGGAAACTTTGCACCGTCACGTGACAACCGTATCGGCGAAACGGTCTGCTGACGAACGAGCAATCGATGGAAAAAAATGCGATTACCCAATCGTTTCCGACCTCACCGGCCCCGCCGCGGCCGGGGGAACGAATTTCACGAAGGGAGAAGAAGACGGACGTGCTCGAGCCACGAATATTCGCGGAGGACAGAATGCCTTTCTTCCTTCTTTTTTCCCTTAACGGTCGGCGTAAGACACGCTGGCCGACGACCGATCGAATGCCATTCTTTCGCGATCTTTGCAAACGGTCGCTAGGTTACTCCGAATCGTGCTCTTCCGCCCAGTAGGGTCGTCGTCGTCGTCGTCTCCCTACTCTCTTTCCTCGGGGTACGGCCGCATAGAAGCGACGGTAGAGGGATCAGAGAGCAGCTGGGGGTCTAATCTGTAACTCGCGTAACGCGCGATAAGACGGCTAAAGTTTCGCGAAAGAAAACGAGAGATCCGAAACGAGGGCACGCTCGTTCGTATTCCGTTGGAACAACCATCTCTCTTAACGAGCTCCTCGTTCTATTCTTTCTGCCGCGTCTTGCCAGAGACGGTGATCGAGCAAACGCGTGTATACTTTTCGCAAAGGTACCGAGAAACGGAACAACGCCACGCGTGAAAGATGTTTCGAACATAACGGAAATATTTCTCTTTGCGCGCGAGATGACTCGAGAAAGTTTGGTAACATTGCGCGGTGCGTAATCGTTTCGGAGTGCAGGTTGTCGGTAAACGTGCCATTTCTGTATCGTCGCTTTGTCCTTTTAAACCCGTCTTTTAGACCATTCGAGACTCGAATCGATCAACGATGGAATCGAACTCCGAAATCGTCCACGTATTCGCGTATTCGAGCGAGATATTACGCGGATTTCGAGCATTAGATAGCCCCTGGTCGATTCGTAACGATCCCGAGTAGGCCCTCTTGCTATCGCCACTTACGACGCCGTTTGAGAATTTCGCTTCTTACCGAGTAGGTCGATATAAATAGACAAAGTACTAGACATCGCAGAACGCGTGGTGTGTGTACTTAACGCGTGCCGATTCGCTATCCAAACGATCCTAATTAATATCCACTAGGATAATTGGGATCGTCCTGGAGGACCGGTGCGGAAGACTCGATTCCATCTCGTTTCGAGGGTGAATTCGATGGTCGTGTACAGAGCTTTACTTCCATTCGCGACACGTGCTGCACTCGGGGAACGGCAGTGGCAGGAAAGTGTCCGAGTAAACGGACACGAAGGAACGAAGGAAAAGTTAGGACATCTCCGAGCGGAGTCTCGCGTCTTGGCAGAGTACGCGAGATAAAGCGGGAGAGAAACCTCGTAACGGAGTCGAGAACTCGAGCGAGAACCTCTTCGGTTTCTATCTCTGTTGGCAGCGCGAAACAACGTTGACACGCTCGTAGATTCGTCGTGGCAAACGCAATGACGAGTGACGTTAGGAATTGAACGTAATTCTCCGCCACTCCTCCGTACTTTGGCGTATCGTTTCGTCCTCGAGCTCTCTTCGTGTTCGTACACGCGCTCGCGGACCAGCCAAGATGCTTAGAATTCGTGGAACGATCTGGAAACGAGCGGAGTTCATTTCTTGGCAACGATAACGATAGCGTCTCTAACCGACTTATCGTTGGCTCTCCGCGAAATAGCACGATATTCGATCAATACGTGCAGGTATTCGACGGATACACTGGGTGCAAACGCGTTTCGTTCGCGTAGTAAGGGCTGCTGTTTGGCGGTTTTACCGCGCGCCGGGCGAATGGAAAAACGGAAAGGACAAATTCGGGCGGGGAGAGAACGAGGATAAAACGCACCCGTGTATACCTACGGGTGGTTGAAACCCGATGGAGGGGGGCCGAGAACGAGGCAACGGGATTCTACCTACCTGAGAAACCTTCGGGAAAGTGGGCTAAACACCGTGACACGGCCTAACCGTTTCCTATGTCGTGCGATTTATCTGCAAAACTTGCGAATTATCGTCGCGTATCTCGTTATCGTCGCGCGCGAATCAGGCAGCTGCTTTCCGAAAAGGAACCGCTCACCGTAGATACCATACGCATTCGGCATTCTAACCCGTTTGTTTTCCTCCACCCAAGTACCAAGAGGAATACGCGAAGAGATGCACGTTCATAAGGAAAAACCGATATGCTACCTTTTCGCGCGACAAAGATTCTCGCTCTATTTTTTACCCAACGAAAATTCCCGTGGGTATATCAAGATTGTCTTTTTTCGGACACGCGACTTTTCCCTCGACCTATGTTATAATACAGAAACCGTGTTTTGTCGTTACAGGCACTATCACCGACGACCCGGTGGCGCAATAAGAAAAATGTCGGGAATGGGTAAAAGGACTTACCTCCGCGAGGTAAATCCCTATCTTATTTGTCCGTTGTGCAGAGGATACCTTATAGACGCGACTACCGTCGTCGAGTGTTTGCATTCGTGTAAGTAAATTGAATCGAGCCTGAATTATTTTACACGGAACGGATAATGACATGTCGTTTTTCGCCGCTCAGTTTGTAGAAGCTGCATCCTCAAGCATCTCAACACAGAAGCTCATTGTCCTTCTTGCAAACATGTTCTCAACAAAGCCAAGCCGAACATCAAGTAAGTTCCGCTTCATCGAGCTCGCCGAGTCTCCAATTCTTCGACACTTGAAAATTCTCTTCAACGATCTTTATTTCTAGAGCCGACAAGGCGTTACAGGATATCGTCTACAAGTTGGTCCCAGGATTGTATCACAAAGAGATGCGCAAGAGAAGGGAGTTTTATAAGAAACATCCGGAGCACGGTAAGACTGTTCGAAATTATAACCAATCCTTGTCGTTCCGGCGAACTTCTTCTAAGAATTATTTCTATCTGTAAATATTTTACACAGCGGACTTAGCGACTCCGGAACAACGCGGCGAAGACGTAAGCGGAAGATTAATTTTTGCTCCGGAAGACGCGGTAAGCTTAAGCTTGGAATACCTACCACCCGGAGCAGACCCTTTGACCATTTTACTTAGCACCAACGACGATACCAACAACTCGAACGCATCTAACAATCAAAATAATAGCGGTAACAACGGTAGTAATAATAGCAGTAGCAATAGCACCAGCAATCACGGCACAAATACAACGAGTAACAGGCGGTACCTTCAGTGCCCGGCACTGGTAACTATTGCGCATTTAAAAAAATTCCTAGCCTTGAAATACAGCGTCGACATGACGAGATACACCATAGAAATCTGTCATCGACGTGCTCCGCTTCCGGAACACTGGACCCTGATGGACGTCGCTTATATTTACGCGTGGAAAAGGGTAAACCATCGTCCAATCCGACTATTATAGAATATCTTAAACCTGTTTCCCCTTCGAGGTCTAACGATCGAAATTTTTCATTTTAGAACGCACCGATGCGATTTTTTTACCGAGTGGCGTTAGAAGAGCAAAGATTGGAAGCGCCTCCTCATGACAGGCCGTCCACACCGGGTCTGGGTGCCAGTTTTCCACCGGTTGACGCCTCTGTTGCAACGCAGGACAATGTTATTTCGGATAATCCCGAGAATGACGTCGAATCTCGACCGGAAACGGAGCGCACGAACGACGACGATGAGAAACCTGTGTCGGACAATCAGAACCAAGTCTCGAGCGAGAAACAGCGTGCACCGAATGATCAAACATCCATAAACGAGGTGAAGAAAGTGACTATAAAGGAGGAGCAACCGTCGAGTAGCGTAGCTACGTCGACAACCGCGACGTCGACAACCGCGACGTCGACGACGATTTCGACGGTATCGACGAGCATCGCGTCCACGACGACAGTCACCAACGCTATTACCTCGTCAACGCCCAGTAGCGAAAATAAACAGATCAAGACACCTATTAAGATACTAAAAAACTCGGACGGAAGGTACGAGGTGTTGAGAAGTCCACCGGGGAGTTGGAATATGAAAGAACAAAGTACCACGAGCATAGAAACGAAACCGGCCAATCCGGAATTTAGCGTTGTGAGTATAGGCAGTGGACAGAATTCGAACGGAGTGAAGATCACGTTGAAGCAGTGCTCTCCGAACAATACGAGTCCAAACAAGCCTAAGGTTATCAGCAACGTGTTACTGCATTGCGGTCAGGTGGATAAAGATAATTCCGACGCGTTGGTTATTCAACAGATTCAGAGAGACAGGGACAAACGTCAGGTAGAGAAGCAGGAGAAGCAAAGAAGGAGAGTAACCTTCGTGGAAAAGTCAACCCCCGAGAAACCTACGGCTAATAACAGTTTGAAGACTATACAGAAAAAGCCAGGAGAGTTACAGGAAAAGAAACAATTCCTTCAAGGGTTTCAACTAACAGCCAGGGAATCGGCGACCGAAATATCGTTAGAATCTTCCTCAAAATTTAACGAACTAAATGCCGTCGACGAAATAAACGATACGCAGAACAAAGGTAGCGTCACGGTTAAGAAAGAAGACGACGTCGCGACGGAAACTTCGAATAACGTAGATGACGCAAAGAGTAAGAGCAACAACGAGAATATCGGTGTAAATGCGAGTGGAAACGCTACGAGTGCTAATAAAAGGGTTACAGCGATGAGCGGAGTTACTGGCAATGCGCGAGTGAATACAAATAAACAGTGCAGTGACGTAGATACGTGCGCATTTGGTTACCCGAAGAGTACAAATGCAGGTATGAACACGAACGTGAATAGCAATCCCGCGAAGGTGGATGTATATACTTTTTCGAACGACCCACCCGTGGTACCTGCGGGAGCGGTGAAAAGAAAATGCCCGCCAGGTCTACCTATATTCGACATTAAGAGAAAGAGGCAGCAACAGATTCAAAGCCAGATCTCGAAGAAGCAAAATCCTGTACATTCGCCTGCTGTTGTACAAAACGCCGCAAAATCGCCTCGGAAGCTTCCCACAGAGCACGTTGTACCAGCGAAAAGACTCGCGAACATAGTTGGCGAAGCTGGTCCTAGTCGAACACCCACAACGCCAAGTTCGAAACCTGCCTCGAGTCCGGTACTTTCGCACGATACGAGAAACATATTAGACGGTTGCGGATTGAATATCCCTGCGAGTCTCAGTATAACTCTGACGGCACCAAAATCACCAGGAAACAGTGGTGGATTCACTGAGCCAAATGATGCCAAAGATAATCGAAAGAATACTCTGGGAAAAGTAAGTCCTAGCATTACTCTTAACGATAGGTCTGTCGATCCGCGAGTATTAAAGGCATTGAAAGCAGGACAGATAAGGATGCCCGCACCGTCGAAACCAAGGCAAACCAAGCAATCGGAACGCGATGCGAATCAACAACGGCAGGCACCTCCTGCTAAGCGAAAAAGAGACCAAGAATCGAGAGATATTTTGGACCTTAGCGGAGGAAAGAAGATGGACATACATCCGTTAAGAATACCACAGCCCGTGACAAAGCTTAAGGCGAAATCGACGGTCAGAGACATGCCGAGTATTTCGGATCAGGGCCAGGTTGTGACGCTTGTCGGTGGCCATAGATATTATCGTGCGCCACCAGGTTCTTTGACTCCGGCAGCGCATCGAGTGAACGATTGTCCAATTCCAACACCAACGAGAACACCAGTCTATGCCCCTGGATTTTCCAGCCCTTTAAATAACGCTAGATCTAATACGAATCTTTCGTCCGTCTTTCCGAGTCTGCAAAGTCTCTACGCCCTGAGCCAAACACCGAATCTTCAGCAATTTCAAATGGATGCAAGGCTAAGGCTACCTCAAGGCACAGACTCGAATTCTACCAACGTACCCAACACTGACAATCGAAATATCAACAATAACGCATCCGGAAAAAGTCATCTAGCTGCTCAATGTGCGCCAGTGAAACCAGCAAGATCATCGGTGGCACCTCTGGCTGTTGCGATAACTAAGCAACAGCAATCGAACGAGAAATCAGCGTGTATAAACAGATCTGCCGCGAATGAACCCAACAAGACACCCGTGTTTCGCAATAACGAATCTCTCGACTCTACGGAGTCTAGTCAACAATTGTCCGTCCAAACGAAATACTCGCCAGTCGCGGAAGCTAACAACCGATATTCGCCGCGATGCACCAACAACGGCAACACCAACAGCGAGGATAAAACACCCACCGAAGTAACTCGTGATTCTAACTTGGAAACGGGTAACGATTCCAGGAAGGAACCGGACAATTCGTCGCGACAGACACCTCATCGCGAAGCAGCGAGTCCAAGAGTATCGTCTACTGCTTCTCCATCGCCACCTCCTGGAGACACCAATGCAAACACCATTAACGAGACTACCAGCGGTCATAACGATAATGTAAACACCGCCTCGAATGGAATAGACAATGATCTACCCGCACCGAGTCCGACAAAAAAAAACAATATAGGTGCGGAAGTATCGAGTAGCAAATCACCTGCTAGTCCAGACTCTAGCTCTGTAACTATCGAAAGCCCTTCTAACAAGGGCTGCTCCGCAACGGTCGAACAAGGGTGCCCTTCTCCTTCGCAAACGTCAGACGCGGTAAAGTCTTCGGAGCATTCGACGAAAATTGACAATAATGTCGCCGAAGACTCGACGAACGATAATGACAAAAAAGCTACCATCAAACAGGCTGACGCGAAACAGTTGACCTCGGAGATGTTTCAGAAGAGACTACTGGCTGCGTTTCCCTCAAACGAGTGGGCAAATAATCCAATAGCTGCGGAGCATTTAGGCAACTTTTTAAAAAGTTTGAACGCGTCGATCAAGTCGGAAAATAAAATGGACAGCATAGGATCGGAAAAGGTTGAAAGTCAGCTTGCGTGCAACGATGCAACGCGTTTAAATAACGAAGCTTCGTCGAAATCTCGTACAGACGTCGCTGAATCGTCATAATTACACAAACTGTTTTAAGGATGAATGAAACTCTTCCTGCTTAAACGAAGGACAAAGCTACATCACTGCCATTACATACCGATGTAATGTTATCGAATGACTTTTAGCGTGGATATGTGTACCAATTTCTAAGTAATTCAAATGCTTTAAGGTCTTATAGGAGAATGCGGCACACGCACGCCGTACGATACAGGGAAAAATACAGCACGGATGCTGAAAATTTTATTTTTTCAAATTTTTTAAGGCCACACATCCTTCAAGAAATTTCATCGATGTATAGTTGCTTTGTCGTTACAACAATGTTCCACGAGTCGCTCGATTTCAACTGAAAATTACAGATATCCTTTTTCTGTACAAACGAATACGTTAACACGGTATGGTTTTTTAGTAATTCAGGAGCAACAAATTTTGTGAAACACGATTGATATGATTCGTACAATGAGTTTATTTCTAACGTGAAAATTGTTCCTACTTCGGTCCATACGATAACTTTATGCGAAAGCAGCACATTTATCCAAGTACCTCGCATTGTATTGAGATCCGTTATCATGATTTAAATTTCGATTATTCAAATTTCATAACCGACTACGTAAAATACAAGATTAAATAAGCACAACGAAAATCGAATAGCCAATACGAAACCTGCTTTCCTACTCGTCTACCATAGTAAAACGTGTACGTAATAAGAAACACAGGGACCGAAATTTAAAAAAAAAAAGAAAAAAAAAAGAGGTAAACTCGAAGAAACTAGGAATACAATTATTTGTGTAATGTATGAATGATATCTATGCTATTGTTATTTCTTTATTTACTTTGCGTTACGTTTCACTATGAGTTACTATTATGTATACGTTGTATAATAATTGTTATGTTATGCGACTGTATTATATTATATGTATTATTTCTTGATATGTATATATTTATAATTGCGCTAGTACGTCGTCCTTACAAAATATGCGCAAAATCCTATTACTTTGTAAGTTCGGAAACGTTCAATTTCAATTGATCGAAAATTCGTGTGAATTTAACACCGTTAAAAATTTTAAAACACAATTGCATGTATGTTGATTTTTAAACGACAAAAAACTGACATGTAATAACAAAAGGATATATAATTATATACGTAAACTAAAACTCGCTATAGTTAATTTTATTATCCCTACGCCAAAGACAAAATTTTTACGCATATCACGCAATTTCATATGATCGAATATTTTGAGATAATGGCGTCGTTCGATCAAACGTTCAAATTAAATTTTTATCGTATTCGTAGAAGGATAAAAAATAACTCACCAAATCTGCTGTAACTGATTCTCTCATAGACGAAACGTCGATAATTGACAATGGATTCTCTCAAAACGTTGATGGAACAACAATATTGATTCTGCAACAAAATGCGAACGACTGATATTCGACAACGAGCTTTCATAGTCCTTAATTTTTGAAAGATTCAGACATATGCATGTGTTTTGTTGAATTCATTACGAATAATCTCGGTATAATTTCGATAATCTCGAAACTCAATGTGACAATAATACAATATCTGAATTCTTTTTTATCGTACTTTACCTTTATGTATCCGTATCTTATCATTTTGCTCCTTGATATTTCAAACTTTCCGAAATAATGAACGTTCGCGCGCAATAGCGTTCCTCAAACTATTAATACTTGCCGGCGAAAGTGATCAATAGTCAAAAGAATGAAATAATTAATTTGGAATATATAAATATTTTTCATTTCAAATTTAATCTATTATTCTTATTAAAAATATTTGCTTTTTCAAATGCCACGTAATTAACAAAATTAATAAAAGTTAAATAAAACGGTTGATTATCAAGGGTGGATAGCAGCGCCATGCCAAGAAGCGAATTCTATACGAATTATAACATCTTTAAGTAAATACTTGTTTCAGGTTATATTTCGAAGGTATGGTATTTCAGAAAATGATAGGTTAACCTGTCCTTGCATACATGTTTGAACGTAGAGGAGTTTTTCCTCTTCCTTTAAACAGTGTGAATTAAAATGAGTAATATAAAAGAAAATTCTACGGCACCGGCAAAAAATACAACTATAAGTAACGCAAAACCTTATGGAAAAATCGTGTTAACACTTCAAAATTGTCTATTACCCGAAGAAAAACTTAACTCGACGCCGTCACATTTAGATGGTCTGGATGCAGAAACCGAAACCGATTTAAGGATATTAGGATGCGAACTCATACAGACAGCTGGTATTTTATTAAAATTACCTCAGGTTGGTGATGTTCTTTACAAATAAACAAAATGTTTGTAAACGGTATAACCTCTATAACCTCTCAATGCATAGCCTGTACTTCTATTCTCCTTTTTTTTTTTTTTTTTTTTTTAATAGGTTGCAATGGCCACTGGACAAGTAATATTTCAACGATTTTATTACAGTAAATCATTAGTTAGACATAATATGGAAACAACTGCAATGGGTTGTATTTGTTTAGCTAGTAAAATTGAAGAAGCACCTAGACGTATTAGAGATGTTATTAATGTATTTAATCACATAAAACAAGTTTCTAGCCAAAAGTAAGTATTTTATTTTTAATTCTATTATTGAAAATATCGACATATGAGTAATATTCATTATCAAGTTTGCCATTTTAGGCCAATACAGCCAGTAATACTTGATCAAAATTATGTGGCCCTGAAGAATCAAGTAATTAAATCTGAGAGAAGAGTCCTAAAGGAATTAGGCTTCTGCGTTCATGTAAAACATCCTCACAAAATTATTGTTATGTATTTGCAAGTATTGGGCTATGAAAAAAACCATGCTTTAATGCAACAATGTTGGAATTATATGAATGATTCCTTAAGATCTGATGTATTCTTAAGACATCAACCGGAAACTGTTGCTTGTGCATGTGTATATTTAGGAGCAAGACAACTTCAATTACCTTTACCTACTTCACCTGCTTGGTTTTCCCTTTTTAAAGTTAATGAATCCGCAATTAGAGATGTTTGTCGTCGTATATTACGTCTTTATTTCCGACCTCGCGTTAAACCAGAACAATTAGAGAAACGTGTGGAAGAACTTCGTCGACAGTATGAGGAAGCAAGAACCAAAGCAAGAAGTGGAGATGTCGATAGCCACACACCTAGTCCACCACTGCCTAAACACCATAATGCCTGGGGCGGATTCATTAGCCGTAGCGGGACACACGCCGCACCCGAAAGAACAAAGTCACCTAGGTATGATGTAGCGAGAGAACGAAGTAATAAAATATGATTTATGAATTTATCATGTTCGAAACCATTTTTATTTTTATTCAGACGTTCGAAATCACCGAGTACTTCACCGTCTAGGGGTGAAGGAACAAAGCATTCCAAGAGAAAGAAACATAGTAGAAGCAGATCTCGCAGTCATAGCCATGGACGGTCTCGGAAACCGAAAAAAGCGCAACGAAGACGGTCTGGCAGTCATAAATCATCGCATAGTCGGTATAGATCGCGTAGCCGATCTCGAGATAGAGATGTAGAAAAGTCAAGTAAACATCGCAGTAAACACAGACGACATTGAATTATTGGATGTATAAAAAAATTATTATGTATATTACAAAAAACGGTACTGCCGTCACATGGGCAGTCGCATTCAATTTGTAATATAATATGGGGCCTTTTTTTTACCTCTGTTAATTAATATACAATTTAAATAGGACAATTAATTTCTACTGTATGGTACATATCTTGAGTTAATTTAACAATGAACAGTAGATTTTAAATAAATTATTTCTAAGAGCGTTGAGTCAAAGTACCTCAAGAAAGGTGGTACATTGTCGAAAAAATATTACAAGTAATGATACTTAAGAAGGCGTGTATTTAATACAAAACTTGAAAATAAAGTTTTATATTCATGTACTACCATATATCATTTTCTGAAATCCAGCAGGTGCTGCCTTTTTTCTTTCAGCGGATAATACTGCCGAAAAGTCTAGCGCCGTTAATTGTGGAAGAATATGGACAATGTATCCTCTATAATATGGAAGATTTTCAATGGGATTTCCTTGTAACGTTAAAGATCTAAGCGTTTGTAACTTCTTCAGTTTAACAATATCATTAATATTCGAAATATTATTTCCGTGCAAATAAAAAATTTTTAAATTCGGAAACTTTATAATGTCATCTCCAATTCGTTCTATCTCATTAAAAGAAAGATCGAGCCAACTAAGGTTCGTTGGATCATCCAGAACTTTATGGGCAAGACTTTCAAATCCGTTCATTGAAGTTAATAAATTATTACTTAACCATAAAGAACACGTTACAAAACGATCTGCAGATGTCCGCAACGGAATTTTACCCGTTCGTACTGCTTGTGGTCGTTTACTTGCCAATTCTCTTGTAATAAAATAAAAATTTCTATTAATATAATCTTTATATTCAAAGAAGAACGCAGAATTTTAATAGTATTATACGTAATATTTTAATTGTAAAGATTTCACACTGCATAACATACCACTCATTGTAGTTGCTTTTTTAAATGACAAATCCAATGGAGCAGCTATTATCATCTCTTGCCGTTCACTTCGTCTGTAATCAGAAAGTGGTTTTTCATAAGAGATAGTGGCATCCATTATAGTGTTTAAACGATAAAGCTTCGCCAAACTTTGGAAAAGTTGCTTCAATATTGATACTGATAAAACATAAAAAAGTACACTTATAATTATTTGACAATTCTTAGCAATATCATTAAAATTTTCGTTTTTCATCTAAAATTTCTGTCTCTATAATTCTCCAAATAGTATAGACAGTCACTTATCCGATAATTGTCACATATTTATTACGAATATAACTTAGCGTGAAAAATAATAATTTTACTTATTTACATAATTTTACAAATAAATTTAACCATTTTAACAACTTAGTAATTATGAAAATTAAATAATATGTAATTTAAAAAATTTACCGCGGGTAATTCTCACATAATTCAAATCAAACACACTATATTGATTTAAGTGTATTTCTGAACACTTCAAATATAATGCAGATAAACGACGCTAGGTTGCTCTTTTTATAAGGTGCATATATTCTTTAATTATTTGGTGGTTCTTCAAGTTTCGTATCCATTGATATCGAATCATAAACTGTTAACGGCGGTAAACGGAATTGAAAACATTTTAATGTAAGTCAACAAAATCGAAGAATTTGTGGTAATTTAATTTACAAATTTCATCTAAACGGTAATAAAAGAAACGTGCGATATAAAAGATAAATAAGTAGTTTGGTTATCTTTACTATTTTACGCCTGTTAAAGATGCCGCGAACGAAACATGTTCGGAAACCAAAACGAGAACAGCAATCTGCACAAGAGAGTGATTTATTAATGATAGATTTTGAGAGACAGGCACAATTACGTGTTTTAAAAATGGAGGCAGAATCAAAAATGGCAATAAAAAGCCTTGAAACTATTGTTGACGTTACTTTATCTCGGCTTCCAGCTGAGATACGGCAAATGCCTCTCGGTGAGATACTCAATTACGAAAAGGATAATGACAAAGAAAATAGCAATGAAATTTCGTCGTCTGTTGATTTACAACCGTTAGCTTCGACAACGGTAAAAGGTAAAGAGATCGAAAAGAGAATTACCAGCGCATCCGACGATGGATACGTGACCGAGGGAATTACAACGACGCGAACATCAAGAGCTGCAAAAGTGCAACCTACTACTAAAAGAACACGTAGTAGGTCTAATAATAATAATAGTAGTAAAATGAAGCTTAGTAAAATAAACCAAGAAACTGTAAAGAAGGTAGTAAGGAAAGAACGTATCAAAGAATCTTTAAAAATTGATAAATTTACAACTCCTTCTACTTTGAAACCTGGAAGTAATGTATTTGATCCTGTAACTCCAAAGATAAAACCTAATACACCGTTAAATGTATTAAGACGTCCAAGACAAGGGGAAATGGTACTTAGTATGCAAGGTAGCCCCTTATTGGTATCTGCAGTAATTCAAGAAGATATTGCTAATATTAATGTACCTTTGCGTAATGGCAATGTTATGTCTTTATTACCTAATGCTGGTTTACGTATGTCACATATTCCTGCATTAGATTCAGAAACTGTGAAACAATTAGAAACTCTAAAAAATCACATTGAGAAAGTCATCTCAACAAAGTAGTTAAAATAATGATAGGATAAATTTGTATAGAATGATTTCATATTTCACCATTGTGTGTGCCAATGAAATCAATCTAAGATTGAAGTATCTCTCAGATATTGTGTTATAACTCTATTCTTATATACATATATATTATATATATATATACATATATATTATATATAATATAATATAATATGCTTGTTTAATACATATTTAGACAGCATTTGCTGTAACATTTTTTAACCTTATGACAATAACACTCTTGTAGCATATTAATATAACATGGGATTATGAAATACGGAAATCAACACTCTGAAATAAAATTCTTGTATAATATAGTTAAGATCAGTATAATAACAGTGCATGTATAATTTTTTATATAATAAAATACTACTGTGACTTGAGTATATCTAATCTAGTGTAGAATCATACCTAACATAAATTAAAGAATTATTAAAAATTTAATATTTAAATAACTTTTTTTTTATATTTTGTCAATTATTTCTGGATGTATCATTTTTTTTATATTTTCTATTTCGTAATTATTTTATTTTTTATAATGATATATGTATCGCATTTGGCGGGCAAAAACTACTAGGGCGCGTGAGTAGTATGACTATGTCTAACCATTAGTGTACATGCGCATACTAAAAGATCTGTCAAACGGACGAACTGCATTTGCATTCTTCTACTTTATAATATTCGTAGTGTTTTTAAATTATATAAAATCATGTACAAGATATCGTAGTGTTTGTTGAGACAAATGTAAACTAACGTGTTTTCCTCGTACTTTATCATATCTTGTCACTTTTAATATTATTTGTCATATAATAAAGGTGCCAAATACACGAAAGATGAATTAAGAATGTCAAAGAACGCGTCATTGAGTTCGTTAACACTGATTTTTAGGCGGTTCAAGATAAATACTCATTAATCGGAACAAATCAAAACGATATTTCTTTACATATCTTTATGCTTAATTCTATATCTCATTGATATTAAAAGATTCCGAAAAAACAACGAATTTATCATCTTCTCATACATTTCGCAAGCAACTAGTATATTAATAGTTTAAAAATGTAAGGTAACCTTCAACAAATTTTATAATAATATATACATTAAATATCATCAATTGCATTATTTAGTAATGTTAAAATGGTATAAGTTTTGTGTCAAATTCAAACAAAATAATTACTAATTTAAATGTATGTTCAATTTACTTGTAAAAGTTTCCAATTACTTACATAATACATAATAATTTTCTTCCAAACATAATATAGATATGTTTAAAGAGCTCTTTTATTAACACAAAAATCAACATGGTACGTGTAATCACAGTACATAATTTTTTGGGGCAAAATATCACTCAAATCGAGGAGCCAACTGCAAGCTGTATAGCAAATACATCTGGACATGAAATGCTTCTTTTAGCATTATCAACTCATTGTGTTGAAGTCTGGGAATTGATGATATCTGACATTAAGCTATATACTGTATTTCCAACAGTTGATATGATTAATCAAATGGTTCACTGCACAAAGGGAGATTATGTTGTGACATTAGAATCAAAATTATCCAGAGATCCAAGCATTAATAATCATATAGGGAAAACAGTTAATAATTTTGTTAGGGTCTATGTTAACTGGGCTACTGTGAAAGATCAAAGTCAACCTATGCGTGCTAGAATAGCAGGACGTGTTACTCCAAGTTTAAACCGACCATTGAATAGCTTAGAGATGATAGAGTTGCCATTAAGTGTACAACCTACATTAATTGCTTGCTGTCAAAGTACTGGCAATCTTCTAGTGGCTGCAGGGAATAGTGCCATTCTACATGAATTCAAAATTGAAACACAACAAGTGTCAAAGATGAAGTTTATAGATTTTGAGGCACGACCATGGTCTTTAGGATTCTCATTTCCTCCCACACATATGGAGATTGTTGAAGATTTTATATCAGTTATGGATAAAACAAATTTATGTATTTTTCGACTGACTAATTCAATGTATGAAGATATTGATCAACTGAGTTCATTAACTTCCACCAACTCTTCATCCATTGATAAAACATCTATATCCACTGACTCCTCCCTTGTGGAAAATAGCAATAATACAGCTAATCAAGATGATAACGCAATATTGCAAGGAAAAAATTCAAAGCGTAAAACTTCTAGTCAAGATCTTCATTTCATTGTATCTGAAAACAATGACTCTAGTGGAATAAGCACAAAATTTAAAAGTAGGAAGCATAGAAGTTCTAAAACAAGTATATGGAGTAAATTGGAGACAGGAGATTTCAGGAAAATAAAATCTAATAATAACGATACTATTATAAATTTAGATCATTTAATGTACAATGAAAGAGATGAATTACGAAGATTAATTGATCAAGAAGTTGTAGATGGAAATTCACAAGCCCTGACTATAAATTTGCCATCTATAAGTTTGGAAAGAGCAGGACCTGGACATACATTAAGTCCTTTCATATTAAACCCTTCAGATATAAGGATTATAATTAAAACAAGTTCTCCTGATTTAGGATGGTCAGAAAATTATACAATAAAAAATTTATTGTCACTTAAAACAGTGGCAGCTAATAATAAACTTGATGGTTGTAATAATTCTTGTGTAAAGAAATCAATCCTAAGATCAGATAAATACACATACTTGCAGGGTGTAAGCTGCTTTTTGTGCACATTGCAAGAAGGATATCTTTACCACTTTTCTGCTACTAGTTCAAATCCTACAGATGCAGCTTGTTTAACTACTTATCCATTTACCGCACCTGTTAATTATGTAGCATTGGAACATACTGCTTTGCATGCATTGACCGAGGCTGGCCTTGAATCTTATACACTACGTTTATCTCATCACATTGCAAGAACATCAAATAACATAAATAATTTAAGAATCACATGTCCTAGTGTCTCTGAGCCTGTTTGTTTAATTGGATTAAGACCATTTTTGGGGATACAACGACTATTACATAGCAAAAATTATCTAATACTTTTAGCCAGAGCTGAAAATTCATGGACTTTATACTCTTTAATTTTACCTAAATTGGAAAATTTATATTACGATATCTTAAATGCAGCAAGGAGTCATAAGTCTTCTAGTCCCAGCACGTACCGTCATTTGTTAGGAGAAGCTCACGCTTTAATACGTTTAGCCAAAGATACCGTGTATAATTGCTCAGACATTAGTGAATTTGACGATATCGCAAATAAAAATGGGTTGAAATTGAAAAACTTGTATAATCAATCATGCGCATTGCTTGGAGACTATTATATTCGTTCTGAGTACGAATCGGATTGGGATCTTTGTATACCTTATTACAAAATGTCAGGATTAAAACCTTCAGAAGTATTATCTAGAAAATCAAGTCAAGATGCCCCGGGTCTCGTTACGTATTTAACGGACGTTCTTTTTACAATGAAGAGTGGTTCGGAAGCTGATGCGTTATTTCAGGGGTTTAATATCGTAGAAATAATATGTAAATTAAAAAAATCGGACTTATTGAAATTGATCTTCAGTAGTCCTGTATTGCGCGAGTACACCACAGAAAAGTTAATACATCTTTTGTTATTATATGAAACGGATGAATTAGATAAGTTAGCGTTGGCACTCTTATACATACAAGCTGAAAAGCAAGAACAAGCAGAGAAAATACTTGAACCAGTTTCAGCGTTGTGTATTAAAAAAATAGTTTTAGAACATTGGGATCTATTATTTGACATGACGGCAATGAAAAAGAGAAGTCCAATGATTCCAACATTTTCGGATTTTGCCGGAACGTTAATGCGCCAAAAAAATTCAACTTTTGCCGAAATTTTAATACAAATTATAGAAGACGATGGAATTTTATCTCTTCATCAAATTATACAGGTGTTTTTAGAATATTTGCCATCAAGAGTAGGACGGGACGGGCATAATGCAGCAATGACATTACAAGTTTTCCTTGAAAAATATCTTCATAACTACTTTAGTACAAAATTGTTTATAGATTCGTCTGTTATAAATAAAAATCAAATACGCACGGATTTCGCTCTGGTTGAAGCATTTAAGTTACTAGTACGATCATATTTAGGCAAATTAACTCAAACAAAAGTGTACAAAATAGAAAATAAAAAAAATTATGATAACTTCATATTCGAGAAGTTTAGACCCCATTATTTAAATGGGATGCCGCCGTATGCGAAAGATTATCAAAAAGTTTTGAATGTGTGTGATTTACAAGATATAGCTGATATTGATAAGACTGACTCTATAAAAACTATACCAAGGGAATTATTTAAATTACAATCCATATTATCTTGTGATTTTATACCAAATGAGTGCTTGTATGAAGTTAAACAATTTCTTCAAACACAAGAAATTGATGGCAGTTTATCTTTAAAAACATTGTGTATTCAAAATACAGAAGAAGCTACAGCGCTTCTAATGGACAATTGTCCTCAAGCAGTTGTGCAATATGCACAGGTACATATCATGCATTTTATTCCACTAAGTACTTTATAACATCTCCTGTTATTTGTTTTACATTTAAATTTCGTGTTACAATTCTAGGATATGTATACTAAAGATTCGGAATGGAAGTATTTAATTGAGTTAACACAAAATAAAATTTCTTCGTCAAACACTCGACAAGAATTGCAATGCCTGTATACGCAAATTATGAAAGGTAAACTTTTTTCGATTTTTTTATACTGAAATATGCTAAGCTATACCATAATATACTTCTTATTATTTTAGCAATTTTAAACTATCTGCCACATACATTATCATTGAAAAGTCTACATCGTGTTCTTCCTAAAGATGATGTACTAACATTCCAAAAATGCAGCGAAATGTGTAATCAAATTATGCACGCCGAACATGTTAAATCTTTAATAATAGAAACTAGTCAACAACTTTTATCAACTTTAAAATTGTGAGCGATAGTTTCAATTGATCAATTTCATCGTCGTTTGGCGATAGTATAGGTCCAATTTAATTTAGACATAAAGAAACTAAATAATTTAAATGCAACAAGAAGTTAAGTTGCATGAAAATTATATATAGAGAAAATAGATTTGAGGCAAATTGTACTTAGTCGAATTAGCTGAGAACAATACTTTTTCATGTGATACAACTTTCGTGAATTGCAATTTTTCTTAAAACTTCGCCTAAAATTACTTAATCTTTAACATAACCAGTGACTTTCAATTTCTGAACCAGTTTAAGATACCTATTTCACTTTTATTGATGTTTTTCTTCGCTAAATATAACGGTAAATTTACACTTATCAGTTTTGTAATATTTTGGGAAGTATTCATTCCTTTTTCCAATTAATTGAAATATTTGATTTTTGTTACAAACTTAGCAACGCACAAGATTTTTTATGAATGAAGTTGTATTATCAAATTGTCAAAAACTAAAGACAAATACTATAGATAAAATTAATTCATCTATTATTAATTGTTGAGATGTTCTATATAGATATATTGTATTATGTCTAGACGTATGTTATCTTTCCCTTAGCTAATGAAATAGTTGAATCATAATTATGGAAAGTTTATACAGAACCAAGCATATTATAGATATTAAAATTTTACAGTGTTATATATAATATTGAACATGATAGATTGCTTTATACACTGAACTAAGAAATTTTGTAGTGGTGATCATTGTATTTTTGACTGCTGTTTGAATATTTCTAAGAATTTGTTAAAAATTGTTTATATTTTAACCGCTAAGGGCGGGGTGGCATGTGTTTAGGAAATCGCATATTGCTAAGATAGTTACTTTTTATTATATTCGTTAATCCTATAATGTATTTTCATCACTTTCTGAATGTTACAAAATATGATGTAACTTTGATGTGCCTTTAGACTAATTTCTCTTTGTTATAAATCTAATATAATTATGTTAGAGGTGATCTATGATATTTATAAATAATAATAATAGAAATAATATATCTGTATCTCATATCAGAACGTTTTTTTATTATGTAATCATATTTTTATAATGCTATTCTTTTCTGAAAAAAAAAAAAAAAAAAAAAAAAA